TATTTCACAACACTTCACTCGCGGTAACTTCACTCACATTCAGCAGGAGCACCAAAGCTATCACAATAAGTCCCATATAATTCTACAGTTCAATATAAGTTTACTTGATTTAACTAAACACTAAAATATTTAATAAACGCTATGTGTCTATTATTATTAATATTAGTAGTAGTGGTGGTGGTGGTGGTGAGGATGGATGGATGGATAGATAGATAGAATAAAAACAGACAAAGTAGGCAGAAATAAAAAAAATTGATTTAAACTTTAAATTTACTTTAAATTAAGTAAACTAGAGAGAGATTGTGTGAGAGAGTAGGAATAAAGTATATCTATTGCATATCTGCAACGCATTTAAGACATATTTATTCTATTTACGTGAGAGCAGGTATTGTATTAAACCTGGATTAATCACAGAATGAGTATATAACCTGGATTAATCACACCCTGAGTATATAACCTGGATTAATCACAGCCTGAGTATATAACCTGGATTAATCACACCCTGAGTATATAACCTGGATTAATCACATCCTGAGTATATAACATGGATTAATCACAGCCTGAGTATATAACCTGGTTTATTCACACCCTGAGTATATAACCTGGATTAGTCACACCCTGAGTATATAACCTGGATTAATCACATCCTGAGTATATAACCTGGATTAATCACATCCTGAGTATATACCCTGGATTAATCACACCCTGAGTATATAACCTGGATTAATCACATCCTGAGTATATAACCTGGATTAATCACACCCTGAGTATATAACCTGGATTAATCACACCCTGAGTATATAACCTGGATTAATCACATCCTGAGTATATAACCTGGATTATTCACATCCTGAGTATATACCCTGGATTAATCACACCCTGAGTATATAACCTGGATTAATCACAGCCTGAGTATATAACCTGGTTTATTCACACCCTGAGTATATAACCTGGATTAATCACACCCTGAGTATATAACCTGGATTAATCACAGCCTGAGTACATAACCTGGATTAATCACACCCTGAGTATATAACCTGGATTAATCACACCCTGAGTACATAACCTGGATTAATCACACCCTGAGTATATAACCTGGATTAATCACACCCTGAGTACATAACCTGGATTATTCACATCCTGAGTATATAACCTGGATTAACCACAGTCTGAGTATCTAATTGAGTATCTGAGCCTTTACATGACAGCAGGTGTTGCACTATGTGGTATGAGGTAGTTACAACACAGTGAGTATAAACATAACTAGGGCTAGCAGTATTTACTAGCAGTAGCAGGAGTAGCAGTATTCACAGTGTAAGGTGTGCAGTGAGAGCGGCATTACAGTAGCAGGTTATGATATAATACGCAGTGTGTATTAATACGAGTGGAGATATAGTGATGTGACTCAGCAGTTGTAATTGTGGTTCGTGGTGACTGAAGATTTGCTAAAAAACAGTTATTAAAATCTACATGAGTGTAGTAAAAATATGTGTACTAAAAATAAAAATTCATACTTTGGGGAAAAAATATATTTTACACTTTTTTCAACCATCCCACCTTCGAGAAGACCCCTTGGCTACAGGCCCACATTTACAGTTTGAGACCCCTGATTTAAAAGATTCCTCATACTCACAGATCTCTTTCAAATGTGATGTAGGGAACCAAAAGTGGCTTTTCTGAGGCATTGCTCGAAGAAACCTTTGACTTTGTTTTGTTTTTTTTGCAAAGCTGTCTGTGTGTCTCTGTCTGTGTGTCTGTGTCTCTGTCTGTGTGTATGTGTCTCTGTCTGTGTGACTGTGTCTCTGCGTCACTGTCTGTGCGTCTCCGTCTGTTTGTCTCTGTCTGTGTCTCTGTCTGTGTGACTGTGTCTCTGTCTGTGTGACTGTGTCTCTGTCTGTGTGTCTCTGTCTGTGTGTCTCTGTCTCTTTCTGCGTGTCACTGTCTGTGTCTCTGTCTGTGTGTCTGTGTCTCTGTCTGTGTGACTGTGTCTCTGTCTGCGTGTCACTGTCTGTGTGTATGTGTCTCCGTCTGCGTATCTCTGTCTGTGTCCCTGTCTGTGTGACTGTGTCTCTGTCTGTGTGTCCCTGTCTGTGTGACTGTGTCTCTGTGTGACTGTGTCTCTGTCTGCGTGTCCCTGTCTGTGTGTATGTCTCTGTCTGTGTGTCTCCATCTGTGTGTCTCCGTCTGTGTGTCTCCGTCTGCGTGTCTCTGTCTCTGTGTCCCTGTCTGTGTGACTGTGTCTCTGTGTGACTGTGTCTCTGTCTGTGTGTATGTGTCTCTGTCTGCGTGTCTCTGTCTGCGTGTCTCTGTCTGCGTGTCTGTCTACTAAACTAGAAGAGCAGAAATTGGCCTTTTGGATACTGAGGTTAAGGTTAATGTTAAGTTTAGGTGTAGGTGTCGTATTACTTGGCTACAGTAAAACTAAAATCAGTAGAAATCAGTGGAAGTCCTCTCAGTTAGGCGTGTGGGTGTGTGTTTCACATTTAATGATCAAGGTGAGGAACTTACCTGGATGTCTTCTGAGGAATTTCCCCATTAGCATTTTATTTCACCTCCAGTATTACTGTATATCAGTATTGCTAGAACTTGTTTGAAATTCAGCAGAAATTAAGCAAAGTTTTCTTTCATTTACTTACTGTAAATATTTGTTCATCGTTCTTCTTCTGACAGCTGAAGATGAGACAGAGCAGTATATTGTTCAATCGGGAGGTTTGGAGTTTGATGTAGTGTGTAAACTTTATTATATATATGTTGTGTTGTGTGTGTGTGTGTGTGTGTGTGTGTGTGTGTGTATGTATATGTGTGTGTGTGTGTGTGTATATATATATATATATATATATATATATATATACACACACACACACATACATACACACACACACACACACACACACACACAAACAAAACCAAAAAAGTATCTCCATTTTTGTCATTTTCCAGTTTTTGACATTATTTGATAAAAAACGTGTTTCCCCTTACATTGTATGTAAATTTAATGATCGGTTCAGCCTACATCAGTTAAGCTGGGTTTATAGCCCAGACTGCTTTTTAAGTGAGGCACAATACAGGACAGTCAGAATAGAGCTAAGTGGCATCTAGCAGTCTTAAAGGCACAGTAACAAAAGCATCCTGTTTAATTCTAAAGGATGCAGGGAGCTTCGAAAGTGGTCGTGTAAAACTAATGACTTTTTTTGTTCCATAAAACCACATAAATGTCGTATGTGGACTAAAAATAAAAAATACAAGGAGATTACAGGTGGGATATGGGTTTAAACATGGTAGTATTGACTGACACCTTATTGGTTTGGTCAGGACGCTGGAAGTGAAGCGCTTACATGATGTCACCTGCCTGTAACTCTGTGTGCAGTGTCTACAGCTCCTCTGTTGTAGCTCCCGCCCGGTCTAAATCAAGCTGAAGGTCAGAATGAACACTGGTGCTGATTTGTCGTTTGTTCTGTTTCTTAATCGGTGATCAAAATTGTAACTTCAAGATTTAAGAGTATTTAAGAGTAAAAGTGTGTATGTATATATATTCAGAAGAAAACCTCGTGTCTCCTGCTTTACTTTTAATGTAAGACAATGGAACCAGACTTTTTTCCAAGTCATTTTGGGTCGTTTCTTTTGGTCTGTTCATCATGAAATTTACACGCACTGTAAAGGGTAACAGGCATTTTCACATTATGTCAAAAACTGAAAAACGACAAAAATGGAGATACATAGTTTTCTTCCGACAGCAGCGATATAGATAGATATATATATATATATATATATATATATATATATATATATATATATATATATATATATATATATATATATATATATATATATATATACACATATATATCAGTATTTGTACCATGCACATAATGTGCATATGTAGTGTAAAAATATACAGAAATATAGAGGAGGTGATTGAAAAGTCTGAGACCCCTAATGAAAAAGCTTCTATTTTGCATTGTATTCTAATTTAATGCAACGATCTTCATTGTAAAGTATAATATCAGTAAACAGGTTGTGTAATAAGTAGAATTTTTGAAATATTTACCTGAATTTTAGAATTCTTAGTATCTGGTGTGTCCCTCTTGAGCTTTAATGACCATGTGCACTCGAGCTGGAATATGTATGCTGTATATCCATGTTGGTTGTTTTTTTTTCAACCAATATATTTGGAAAAAACAGATATTTCCTACATACTGCGTTGGAAAGTGAGCATTGCTGTGCGGTGGAAACAGCTTTATTTTGTTCTGCTGATTTCTTAAAAAGGTTTTAGAAAGAAAAATAGTTTTTGTTTTTTTTTTTTTAAATTGTGCAGCAACCCTGAAATAGAAATTGTGCACTAAAATTTGCAGAAGAATTCCATATTTAAGTATGTAGAAGATGTCTTAAGTTTTTTTTTTTTTCTTAAGAAAATAAAAAAAACGTCATTTGACTGGGGGTGTTCAAACTTTTCAAGCATATATAACTCTGTGTATCTATAAAAATAGAAGAAGTATATTAATGGGCCAAAAAGTGGACAAAAGTATTCAAACAGTGGTAGCCGGCCTGGTGAAGCCTGAATTTTGCTCATGCTTTTATTCATTTTAATATAAAACAGTATATGAAACAATGTCAACGTGCTCGATTCACTGATCTTAAAGCAGAATTTTTTTCGTGATGTGTTTTTAGAGGTGTAACGATTGTTCCAATAAAATATAGTAGTAGATTCAGTACATTTTTTTCGATACAGCAAAAATAAGCAGAGACTGAAATATGTGAAAATATATTGCTGTTTGCATTTTGAGTTCATTTGAACATTCAACATTTTAAAAGTACAAAGTTTGAAATAAAAATTGTGCCTTATAGTATCTCAGCTAGCGCTCTAGCTGCAAGCTAATATTCTAGATGTGACACAGCTATGAAATGCATTACGATACGATATGATGTGCTGAGATATGATACAGTACGCCGTGTCGTATAGTTACATCTCTAATATTTCTTTGTGTTCTTGTTGGTCTCAGGTACATCAGATAAATGCCGGCGCTGGCGGAAGAGGGTGAGCAGCGGGTGGTCTCCAGACATTCAGTCTAGCTCAACATGCCCTCGTCCACGCGGAAAGGAGCGCTGAAGGACCCTGAGCTCTCCAGCCTCTTCTTCAAAGATGACCCAGAAGAAGTCTTCTGTGACCTCCATGAGATCGGCCATGGGAGCTTCGGCGCGGTTTACTTCGTGAGTGCTCGTCTAAAACACACTTTCTCAGATTGAATTTTAGCCACAGAGACGGCAGAACAAGAACAAATTATCTGGAATATGATGTCAATAAATGGATGTTTTTTATTTGCGTACTTTTTGTTTTTTACTTTTCTGCATATATGATAGGTTGTAGGATGATATGATATTGTTTTCAAATCATTCAGGATCATAAATGCATTTTCTAATGCTTATTTTTAAGAACCCTGAAGAAAACAAATGCTTATTCTGGTGTTTAATAAGAATTCCGTCAACATTTCTGCATAATTTAGGTGGAGAGATTAAACAGTTAAATGTGAAATTGTTCATTTACATTTACGGCATTTGGCAGAAGCTGTTACCCAGAGCGAGTTACAATTTTAAGTTTTTTTACACAGGTAGGCAAAAGTAGTGTTAGGAGTCTTGCCCAAGGACTCTTATTGGTAAAAATCTGAAAACAATCTTTCTTTGGGGAACATTTAGCCCTAGAACCGGGGTGTCAAACTCAACCACTGAAGCGGCCATATTAAAAAGTCCACATTTAAATCTTTTAAAAAAATAAGTCTTTTAAACCTACCTGTTTGCTTCAACTAGACAACTGGCATCTATTTTTTTGCTGTAAGTTCATTAAGACTTGGGCTCAGTTTCTAAGCTGACGTTAAGTGTTTATACTGACTGAACTGCAGCTGAAACGCAGCTAGTGTGTTTGATGATATGACTGGTGTGGAATTGTGTAGAATTGAGGTGTAACCGCTGTCCCATAGACTGTTGTTGGGGTAGGAGAGTCAGAGCGCACATGATGTTGCAGTGCATGCTGGGGACTGTAGTGCAGCGCTTTGTGAAACGGGCTAATATTAACAGAAAATTAAAATACTTGTGCTGGCCAGATAGGATTGCACTGTGGGCCTGGTCTGGCCTGCGGGCCTTTTGTTTGACACATGGGCCTTAGAGCACTCTGCGTGAATCTGTCTGGATGGATTTTCAAAAGTACATTTTACTACAGCTGAAAAAAATCACATTGCATTTCACATCCAACACGTTTACATCTCAGCCATGTAATTATGCAGAAATGTTGAAAAATTAATAGAATTTCCATCTAATATATAGACTGTGTATATATATATATATATATATGTGAAAGCATGTATTCATTGTGCATTAAAATGTATATGAAAGTCATATTTTTATACAACAAATAAAATATTTTTTATGAAATTAATTGCATTGCTAGCTGGCTAGCTGGCCCTGACATCTAGTGAGAGCAACAGTGGCTACATGTTCGAACTAATGAGTGTAACAATATGGCAAAAATATAATACACTATTTAAACATTTCTACAATACTGTGTATATGTATATATATATATATATATATATATATATATATGTGTGTGTGTGTGTGTGTGTATATATATATATGTATATATATATATATATATGTATATATATATATATACATATATATATATATATATATATATATATATATATATATATATATATATATATGTGTGTGTGTGTGTGTGTGTGTGTGTGTGTGTGTGTGTGTGTGTATGTATATATATATATATATATCACAAGACTTTTTATAAGTAAGTCAGAACACAAAAAATGGCACATCAGCACCACATTCCAACAATACTGTCAAACGCTATAGAGGTACAGAGTCTTACATAGTAAACCCAGTTACAGGACTGATTATGCTGTCTTTTATAATGACCCGTACAGTTGGTCAGCGTTCTTTAAGTGCTGACATTATCCACAATATACTCACAAAACTGTATTGTAATGAAATTTATTATGATGAAATATTATATTATTACCCACCTCTAATATATTGTGTATAAATAGTATATATTATATATGGATCATTGTACTGAATTTGTTCAAAGTCAGAGTTAAAAACACATTTTGAACTAAATTAACTAACAATTTATTTTGTCATCACACTGATTCAGTTGTGACTGTTTTGGTCGTGACAGTTTTAGCTAACAGTACATGATTAGCAAACACAGCTTTGGACAGTTATACTCACACGAGATCATAATAATTTTATTAAAACACAAAAAAATGAATTAATTGCCAAAAATGTGTGTTGTGTGATTTTCAGACTTTCAGATTTTTTTTTTAAACAAAATTGTTAATTATTATTTACAAAATTAACTCGATAAATGAACGATAAATCTTTCAAACTCACTTTAAAAGAAATCAAAAATATCTTTAAAAACAACCATGTATATTGTTTTGTTGTTGTTGTTGTTGTTGTTGTTGTTGTTGTTGTTGTTGTTAGGACAGATGTCGATCCCTGTTTAACCCTTAGACATTGATATTACAGTTGTTGTCGTTTTGTGATTCTAGTAAATGTTACTGCATGTTTATTACATTGTAATTACACAATGAGTCACAGATTTACACTACCCTCTAAAGATTTGGACTCACTTGTCATAATCTGTTATTTTATATATAATGCAAGCGTTTAATTTTTAAGAGTTTAAATTTAGGGCGAAGGATAGAAAATGCCCTGTAAATGACAACGTTGTATATATTTAGCTTATCACTATTTTTATGAATGACTTTGTTTTAAAAACCTTATTTTTTGAAGTAGCTTTTACTGTGTGACTGCAGTTTGAACCACTGCACCACTCCAATGACTGTAGCCTCTCGATCTCGTTCATACAGCTCATGGATTCTTTTAGAGTGGAGGCTCTCGAGGAAAACTGGACATTTACGCTTTTGTTAGTTTGCTGCTTGTTGATTTATCCTTTAAAGCTGTATTTGAGTGGGATGGCTACAGTCATGGATCCTATCATAGCAACACACAGCGCGCTGCAGCTGGGTCTCAGCCTGCACTGCAGTGGATGGTCAAATTAGGAAAAATGCCTAAACAGCATTAAAACATTAGTGGCATAATAATATGTGTTATTTTTGACAGCACTAATAAATACATAAATAAATATCGTAAAGTGAATCTAATCTTTTCCCCGTAGTCACAAGTGCACCACTAGTTGTAGCACGCTTTGAAAGGTTTACTGCAATAATCCTGAGTTTGTTGAAATCCTGGAGCAGTGGGCGCTTTTCTCTGTGTGGGTGAAGTCACTTATTTCTGATGCGGTGGAGTTTCTTTAGAGGACGAAGGCAGGACACAGTTTAAGCACATTCAGTCCAAAAATAGCTTTTAATACCGAAGCTCAGTCGTTTAGCTTTTCTGTCTTGCTCTCCTCCATCCCTGCTAAACTGGCAGCTTTACATTCTGCCTCCCTCTGAACGTACGGCCACAGCGCGCTGGAGCCTCCTGACAACTTCTCCTGCTTTTTCTTAATCTGGGGAACTAATAATGCAAAGCCTTTGATTAGAAAATCTGTGGCGGGTCTAAAATCTGCATCGCAAATCCCCTCATAACACTCTCTCACACACACACACACACACACACACACACACATACGCACGCATGCATGCACTCCAGATGTAGAGCCAGACTCAGGCTGCTTTTAGGACAGATGTTGATCCCTGTTTTAACCCTTAGAAATTGATATTACAGTTGTTATCATTTTGCAATTCTAGTAAGTGTTATTACACATTTATCACATTGTAATTATGTAATGAGTCACATTAGTTTTACACCATAGTTTAAAAGTTTGGAGTCACTTGTAATAATCTGTTATTTTATATACAGTTATAGGTTTCAATTTGTAGTACAGTATGGATTTCTATAATATAAACTTAACATTATGCTAATGTTATTATTATTTGTTATAGACATTTTGTAATTATCTGTTTACAAACATTTTGTTACCTTTTTTGTCAGGTGCCATTTATTCTGGATATTACTAGAACTACAGTCTTGGTGCATTTGTTTTATTATATTTTCGACTGATTTGAAACCGCCGGAGGACTGAAATATTAGCATAAATTAATAAACCAAATTGGTTTTATATCACTGTAAACATTGATTCCAAACTTGTAGATTCTGCATTGACAGGATCGAGTCTGCACTTCCGGTTCCACCTTTTTATGTCAAAATTGACAAAAACATGATGAAAATGTAGAAGATATTTTTTTTCTTTGCACAAAACAAGACTGTACACACAAAAAACTTTGCGTCGAATTCAAATTATGACGAAATATCTTGTATTTACCACCACAAATGTGGTATGGATTGAAGGTTTACAGGCCACACTTTGAGCAGAATTCCTGTGCTTCAAAAATTACAGCAAGCTTTTGTTATCGTCTGCGATGACTGCGTCGTCTAGAGGGTTAAATCTGGAGGCAGATGGCTCCATGGTGCTGTGAGAGAGACAGATACTGGATTATTGTACGGTCAGCACAGGCTGTTCAAGAACAGAAGGAAACAGCGTTGCAACATGACCGCACACGTGCTTAGGTATGACCAGTGTTCTCTGAGACTAGAACCAGTAGCCACAGATCACAGGCAGAAACAGCGTAGTGATCTATGGTGATTTTGGCTGTACTTTAAGCTGCTGGTTGAGGCTGAGGTGAAAGCCACAGGAAGTGACATCACTGCCGTAGCGCTCTCTATCCGGCGTATGAGTCAGTTCTTACTGTGTTGTTGGGTAAATGGTGTTAAGAGTGCTGTTAAAAAATCAAATTTTACTTTGGCTTTTGTAATGAACACGTGTTTGTGTGTGTATATACATATATATATATACACACACACACACACACACACACACATATATATATTTATATATACATAGAAATATACATAGAAATATCGCTGTTGTGAGAAGAAAACCTCGCAGCTTCAAAACAGTAACTTTACAGGAGAAGGAAAAAACCTACTTTACTGTGTAAAGAACAACAGGTCTTTTCAAATTATCTCAAAAACTGAAAAACGAAAACAAAAGAGAAATACAAGGTTTCCTTCTGACAGCAGCGCTATATATGTTTATATATATATATATATATATATATATATATATATATATATATATATGTATGTATGTGTGTATATATATATATATATATGTGTGTGTGTGTGTGTTTTGATTAAACTGTCAGTTTTAATTGCTTGTAAGTGAATGATTGTGTTTGCAGTCTGGTGGATAGTTCATATAGCTGTAGGCAAGTTCTGAGAGCAGAACTTATCACACATACATTAGAAAAGAAATCACCATTCCTAGAGGCGAATAGCTTTGTTTTCCTTCAGCTACAGCCTCTGGCATTTCCTACCTGTGAAAGGAGCCAACTGTTCTATGACAAGGCATTGTACTGAAATTATGCAGTGTAATTTTGTGTTTCTCCTCTTGTTTGTTTTTTATTGCAGCATATGAAAAAGGCTGTTTATTTTCCGTTTGCAGTAATTATTGACATTTTAGTTTAGTTTCACTCACTTATTCCGATTAATTAACTGAAATTAGCGCCCATCTGAAAGTGTTTGCCTGGTCTTTTTAGGTCACACTCGTCTTCCTATACTCGTCTTCGATACTTCGTATTGAATGCTGTCAGTGAATCAAGGCTACATGATTCGCCAGTTAGATGTTTATGAAGCACTAATAAAATACTTCTCTTGTTCTTTTCTTTTTTTTGACCCAGGCCCGAAACTCCTACTCCAACGAGGTGGTGGCCATTAAGAAGATGTCCTATAATGGCAAGCAGACCACGGAGGTAGGAACCAGAAAACCACAGTTCTACTCTGAAATTTGACATTTTCAGACTCAGGTTTTTAAACCATTAAAAACACATAAGACGTCATCAGGAGATCGCGAGTTCGATCCCTGGTGATGCTACAGCCGTCTGTGGCCGGGAGTCCAAGAGAGCACACTTGGCCTCGCTCTCTCTGGGTGGGTAGGATGGCCCCGCCTCTCCCCCAATCACTCAGCACGATGCTAGTCAGCTCAGGCGTCTGTTAGCTGACGTAACACAGAACTGGTGGTTGGCGCTTTCCTCCGAGCGCGTTCAGCTGTCCAGTGACGTTGCGCTGAGTAAGCCTGTTCAAGCCTTTGCCCCCCTAGCGCTGGTAGTATCGTCTGATCGGGGGAGTCCTAACTAACAGGTGGAACTGGAGACGACAAACTTTGGAAGAAAATTGGGGGAAAATACCGAAAAAACAAAATTACTTATGACTTTTTAGTGCAAAGCAGCTTTGTGAAAATTCATTGGGTATGTTTAGCTTTAGTTTTCTTTTCCAAGCTATTGTTAAAAGCACATATTAAAAAACCTTTGGCCCAAGTGATGACGCGTGCTGACATCCCAACAAGAGGATACAAGGCATTTTGGCATTATTCCCAAGAGTAGAACTTTAGGAAAATAGCAGAACTGTGCTTTCTGTGTTACATAGGAAGTTAATACAAACCAACAATGGAAACAGGTTTATTTGTATTAAACACACTAAAAAGTGGTGTCCTCAGACTTTTGACGGGCAGTGTAGGATGGACTAGAATGGTTTTAAAGAAATTTCCCTGATAAAAAATAAAATAATGGATTAAATTGTGCAGATTTAAAGTGTGACAACTCTTTTGTCAGACGTTATCCTTAAAACGGAGTGGTCTTAGTCTGAGTAGTATGTGGTCTGTTATTAAAGATATAATAATAATGTTATGTAAAAAAAGCAGTACTGTATTGTTGCATTCTGTCCTATTGTAAAGAAACAGTACCTAAAATACAAGTCGCTATCTGTTAGCTATCGTTTACCCTCTACATATCAATTACCGTTATGCAAATGAGGTTATGCTAATTGGTGCCTGTCAACTTTTATCATTCATTAAAACATGTAGTTGAGCAGAAAGCAGGAAGGTCAGATTTGTTTGTAATTATCTGTCCTGCTGTGTGTTTGTAAGTGGTGCTCATGCTGGTTTGTGTTGTGTCTCTTTGCAGAAGTGGCAGGACATCATTAAGGAGGTTAAGTTTTTGGAACAGCTGAGACACCCGAACACCATCGAGTACAAAGGCTGCTACCTGAAGGACAACACTGCCTGGGTGTGTATCTCTAATGCGGCTCGGCCAGAAAGAAACGGCGGGGGGGTGCTGTTCTGATTGGCCAGTAGAGCACAGCAGAGTAGAAAGGCTCACAAATGTCATAAATGGATAAGTGGATAAAAATGCAAAACAAAAATGCAGTAGAAATGTAGAATATGGTCACTTTAAAAGCTGAGGTTGACATTTGTCCTTCGCTTCTCTTTCAGCTGGTCATGGAATACTGTTTAGGCTCAGCCTCTGATTTGTTAGAAGGTGAGTATACATGTGCAGCACTGCACACACACATACATTACAGTTTGTTTGCTACACCTTTATAAGTTTGTAAGTTATAAGATATATAACATTTTGCAAGGTATAGAACAAACGGTAACACTTTCTATGAACGTTTATAAGCGTCTATAAACACATTTATAACATGTTATAATGCATTCATTTCATAATGCATATTTTTTTTAAATGAATTACACTGAATTACACTTTATAGCCATGTTTATTATATGTTATATATATGAATTGTTAATATAATGCATTATAAGTAGTGTTAATAATATGTTATAGTTTCAGTGCCAAAGAAGTCAGTCCCAGCTTGGAGAGCGTAAAGGAAAGACAAATACAAAGTTTATTTACGCCCTGGGATTTCCAGTGTTTTATTAGAGCGTAAAATCACTGTGGAGTGAAGGCCTGGGGAGGGAGAGGCGAGATAGTAGAGTGCTGTCATTGTAGTTTGTTCCCTCACTGGTTCTAACGTCAAGCACTAGAACCTTTCACTCTGTAACATCCCTACACTACAGTGCAGTAATGCTGATTTCTGCTAGCATTCTATTGGATATGCAGTGTTAAGTTAGTGCCAAGCTAACGGTGGTGTACATTACCTTTCCCACATTGGGTAAAACACTGATGGCAGCACTAGTTTAAACTCTGACATTTGAAGCCTGTAATGTGCTTTATTATGTATGTTTTAGTGTTTCAGTAAATTCTTCAGTAAATACTTCAACTTGAAGCCTCACCCATAACACTGGAGGAGGCTTTAGTACAGTACGCTTCACTTTACTTAGAGCGGACAAATACAACTTATGAGCTCTTATAATTTGTTATGAACAGGACTTATAATGCATTATGTTAACAATTCGTAATGCATAATAAGCATGGCTATTACATGTAATGCATTTTTATAAATATTTATAGCCATATTTATGATGCCTTATTAATGCATTGTAACCTGTTAGGAATGTGTTTATAGATGCTTACAAACGTGACAGTGTTATCGAACAAATAACTGCCGACTTATAGAGGCTGATACAAAGTGTCACAACGAGAGAGCTGCATGGGACTGAAGTGCCACCTTAACCGTCCCAAACATTTGTAGCACCGTCCTCACTCTCTACCCATCACTGTAGAAATATGTGCTCATACTTCATATTCTTGGTCGCCTGTGCATGATCAACAGATACGCAAGTTATTAACATTGTTCTGGTGGTACTTGGTTGATTATCAACACAGTTACGGTAAGGATTAGGTTTAGGTGTAGGTGTAGATTTTGGCCCAATCCCATTTCTTATTTTTACCCCTACCCCTTGTTTTCAAGGGTCACCTTGCCCCTTGGAACTGAGTTACAAGGGTTAGTGGTTGAAATCTTCTCCAACGGAATGGGACCCTCAAATAAAGAAGAAAAACACTTTGTTACTGCTATGCCCTTTGCCATGCAGCTCCACAGTTACTCTCTCCAGTCTCCCCTGTAGCCCCTCCCCCTCCCCAACCTAGGCTGCGTTTACACAGCAGGTAAAAGTGGCCCAAATCTGATTTTCTCACCAAATCCGATTATTTTGTTTGGCTGTTCACATTATCTTTTAAATGTGATCTGTATGCGACATCAGTCTGAACAGATCAGCTCCTAAACCGACCCGCATGCGCAAAAGAACAGTGTTTTACGTGGCGGCTCGTCCAGAGGTAAACAATCGTGACGGCCAGTGAACGCCAGTCACTCCCGCAGCTTTCAGTTTCGTCTTCGCCAGCATCACAGGAGCGAGTATAAAGTTCTAGTCGTTGACAGCTGGACTCATCACCCACACCGTGTTTGAGTTTGCCGAAAAAGGGCTCGTTATTTGGCCACTTCTTTGGTTCCTCGGATTCTTTAAACTGTTCTCTGACACTGCAGCCTCGGGCTCCTCCGGCCGCGTTCGGCCGTTCCTTTCGAAACCTCTTCAAACACGGAGCGCTTTGATGAGTCTCTTCTAATGTTTTGGTACAGAAACATCAGACTTAATGTTTATGAGTCTCAGCAGTGCGGAATTATGACGAATGTCGAGTTGGATTGACGTAAAAGTCGCATGAATTCTGATCTGGCTGTTCAGACTGAGTCTCATTGCCACAGATCGGATACGTATCGGATTTCAATACCACATATGAAAGCGTCTCAAATCGGAATTGAAAATGCGTTTGTTGCTGTTCACACTGACACACAGACACACATCTGTGTCACATTTGAGGAAAAAGCTTTGGACCTCTTTTACCTGCTGTGTAAACGTAGCCTTAGTGAACTGCTACCCTTGACTGGTTTTTCTTTAAACACAGTTGAACCACTGATCTTACTGATATTGTCTCCCCAGGCGACACATTCAGAGTCTTTGCCTTTGACCCCTTTTAATTCCTCTTTTTTAAATCTACCCCAGAGTAGTCAGTGTGAGTGAGTGTCCACGCTGACCATAGCTTTATCTTTTCCTGATTTAGATGACGAACCCAACGTTTTCCACCAAACGCAAACATAGTCCAACAAAACCTACACACACCTGCACACCAAACTGGCATGTTCATTGTTCAGTTTGTGTGCTTTGATTCTTATGTTGTTTACTTTTATCGTTCTGTTCATGAAGTTCATAAGAAACCGCTCCAAGAGGTTGAAATTGCTGCCATTACCCACGGTGCCTTGCTAGGACTGGCTTACCTGCATTCCCACAACATGATCCACAGGTGAGTCTCTACCTGCCCACTGCCTACCTGCCTGTGCGTGCATGTATGCCTCCTTATTTTTTGTTTGTTTGTTTTTTTTAAATAAACCCTTTAAACTCCACATGTCTAATAATATCACAGCAGTGAATAATTATTAATAATAATAGTAATAATAATAATAGACAGGTTGGATAACTGGATACTAAGCAAAAAGTTTAAGAAGGTCAGATAGCTTGTAGTTTCTACTGCATACCTGATTAATGACCGCACAATACAGAGAGTTTGAGGGACTTTGAATCATCGCTTTTAAATAATGCCAGTAAAGCTGTTTTGTAGTTTTATGGCTGCTGATTCTGTGAGTGGAATGAGGAACTGTGTTGGTTTTATCACTGATAAGCTGAAATTATGTCTGATAGTCAAAGAGTACTTTGAACAGAAATGTTAATATTAATGCTACTTGGTAACTATATAGATAATTCAGTCTCTCTCTCTCTCTCTCTCTCTCTCTCTCTCTCTCTCTCTCTCTCTCTCAGAGATGTAAAAGCGGGCAACATCCTCCTTACTGAGCCTGGTCAGGTGAAACTGGCTGACTTTGGCTCCGCCTCCATGAGCTCTCCTGCCAATTCTTTTGTTGGGACCCCTTACTGGTCAGTACTGCTTCTGTGGACTCAAAGGGGGATTCCACCGAATTTTCAAAATGACTATATAAGTAAATAGTTAAGATGTGAACAAAGTCATTCAGAGCGGTTTGACGTAAAATGCTCTGTTCTGGAGAAACTTAGAGTCAGAATTGTTCACTGTGGTGGTGATAGGAACCAGACGTCTGAACAGTTTAATGGTTGTGAATACGCTGCCTGATATCTGAGACACTGCTGTACCATAGTTTTGAGAAAGGAATATTTTAGTCTGAAAAAAAAAATAAATGAGATTTCTTTGCTGTGCCATGAAATGGCCTGCGTGTACCTCTCTACCATGAATATATTTTATGCCACAGTCTTCTCACAAAATCATTAAAACAATGTCTCGGTCTTTAGGCAACATATTTAGAACCACTTTATGTAATAAATTTCTGTGAGGGAACATTTAGAGGCATTGAGCACTTTAGAAATTCACTTAATTTAGAATTTAAAATTAGCATATCACATCAGACTACTTTGAATGACTATATCTTACTGATTAAATTGTACATAAATAAAAATGTGGAATTCCCCTTTAAATGACTGAAATTTGGGCAAAAATACTTGAATCTAAACATTTATTAGTAGTATCGCTTTTCTTACAGAAGTGCTCATAACTTCTGCATTTAAATTATGAATGCATTCAGTATCTTGTGTAATAAGCACGTGTAATAATGTACACTGAATGCTGTGTAGTTAGACTGAGAAACAGAGAATGAAATGGTCAAAACGAGGATCTCCAGTTGTCATAAAACTGTCAATAACCAGAATTCCAGCAGCTAGCAGACGGTATAACGGTCACAGTGTCCATTACCATGAGGACACAACAGAACCCAGACAGTGACCAAATTTAGCCTGTGTTTTTTTGCTGTCTGTGTCTGTGAAACAGGATGGCTCCAGAGGTGATTTTAGCCATGGATGAGGGCCAGTATGAAGGAAAGGTGGACATCTGGTCTCTGGGGATTACCTGCATTGAGCTGGGTGAGCAGAGAATGAGTGTGTATATATATATATATATATATATATATATATATATATATATATATATATATATATATATATATATATATATATATATGTATGTGTGTGTGTGTGTGTGTGTGTGTGTGTGTTAGGGCTGCAACTCTCGAGTGTTTTCATTTTTAATATTCTATCAATTTCATAACTGAATGAAAAAAATATTCAATCAGTTGTCGTCTTTATCTTCTAATCATCATTATGGCTACGTTCACATTACCAGGTTGAAGTGGCACAAATCTCATTTTTTGCCCTAATCCGACCTGAGCCACTTTCATATGTGGTCCTAGATCAGATATCCGATTTGTGGCCATGCAACCTTAATGTGATGCTCAGATCGGAATTCATGTGTGTTTTTTCCACTGCACGTGCACCTTCATTCAGCGTTACCATGGCAGCAGCGCCGAACAGAAGTTAAAGCCTGTAAACGGTGGAAAAGCAGCTCATCTCACCTTTTTCTCCTTCGTCTCGCTCTAATAATGAAGCTGAGAGCTGATCAGAGTTAATTATCTTCTCAGCGAATCTCGTTCTGCTCGTTAGTTTGTTGCTGATGATTCACGTGATTCATTCACGTGACGTTACTGAGTAGGATGTGCTCATGAGGGTCATTTCAGGACGCCGGTTTGTCACATTAATGACAGATTTGAATCACTTATCTACACGAGTGTGAACCATCCTGTCAAAGAGATCGGATTTGAGCAAAAAAATCTGATTTAAGCAATGAGGCTTGTAATGTGAACGTGGCCTATCATTGTTTGTGGTGTTGTTAATTTACTTTTGCACTATTCCATAAATTCTATACATTTATTTTCTTTTAATTTCTGCTTTTAATACTGCACTTTAGTTGAATACATTACAATATAGTATTTGTGTGCTGCTGTGAGTCGCCCTGTAAATCCTGAACTAGTCCATTATAAAAGTGTCAGGTCGGAGTTTGTTGGAGCTTTTCGTCCCACGACATGCGTCTTTATGTATTAGCGTCACATGCACAGGCTCAGAAAGAAAGTCCAGCTCAATGTTCAGGTCTCAACTGCAAAATCAACATTGTACTGATGAAGATATGATGACAATAGTAGATGATTTACTCACATCCTCAGAAGACGCGTCCTTCACCAAGTTTTGACTGCGTTCTCTTTGAATTCTGTTTCAACGCGCTCGCAATCATCAGATTCATCCACTTGGGGAAGGGGACCGAGGCACAACCTGTCTCAAAATGTTGTTCTACATGTTCCCTGTAGTTACACACAAGCGAGCTGGCAGTGCAGAGCTTTCGACTGCGCTTGGAGTTAAAACTGATGCAGTCGCCTCAAATCACATGCTTAGGAACGGAGTCTCCTATGGACCTAGAGTTGTATGCATCTCTGGTCATCTTTGTTGATTTTGATAAGTGATAATAAGTGAACACATCCTCTACAGAGGACACACTTCTGCACATTTTAATGCACAATTACTGCTTATTCGCAAAATTTAACATAGGAAGGAAAAATAAAACAAAATTTGGCCTATGCAAGAGTTATGGCATATGTTTGATGTTTTATTTAATTTTTGTTCCCCTCAATCTGTAAAACTCAGCAAATAAATATAATCTGTACACTGAACATTGCAGAAAAAACGTATTCAAGTTACGTATGTTCAATAAAACATACATCAAATACATAGTATGGACAAAAGTATTGGGACACACTTCTTAATCATTGGATTTAGATGATTCGGTTCTATTGCTACAGGTGCATAGTACCTAGCCATGCAGTCTGCCTTTACAAATATGTGTGAAAGAATGGGTCGTTCTAAAGAGCTCACTGATTCTACCACTCAAGCGTGGTAGAATCAAGATCTGGCAGTCTGATAGACGAGTCTGGGTTTGGTGAACGCCAGGAGAACGTTACCTGCCCGACTGTACTGTGCCAACTGTAAAGTTTGGTGGAGGAGGGATGATGATATGGGGTTGTTTATCATGGGTTGGCCTAGAACCCTTAGTTCCAGTTAAGGGAAATCTTCATGCTGCAGCAGAGCAAGACAATTTGGACAATTCTATGCTTCCAACTTTGTGGGAACAGTTTGGGGAAGAACCTTTTCAGTTCCAGCATGACTGAGCCCCAGTGCACAAAGCAAGGTCCATAAAGGACTCGCTGGGTGAGTTTGGTGTGGAAGAACTTGACTGGCCCTCCCAGAACCCTGACCTCAACCCCATCAAACACCTTTGGAGTGAACTAGAATGAAGATTGCAAGCCAGGCCCTCTCGTCCAACATCAGTGTCTGACCTCACAAATGCTCTCCTGGATGAATGCAAAAATTCCCACAGACGCTCCAAAATCTTGTAGAAAGCTTCCCAGAAGAGTAGAAGCTGTTAGAGCTGCAAAGGGGGACCAACTCCATATTAATGTCTATGGATTTAGAATCGGATTCAGAAAAGCTCCTGTAGGTGTAACGTGTAGGTGCCCCAATACTTTTGTCCATACAGTGTACTTTGACCAGCAGGGTGTTCAGAGTATTGTATATGACTATATAGCTGGCAAATACTTGGTACTGTTGTCTATACAAACGTTTGTTTCTCCACTGAAGTGTGTTAAAAGTGATAAATGTTGGTTATTCTGAATAATTTACCATATTTGAATATTTTAATCATAGAATTTGTCTAACATTGTTGCATATTTGTTGCCTTAGTGTGTATATGTACTATGTATGTGTTAGATATGTTCAGAATGATGAACAGGGCTGTAGCTGTGGGGTAGATTCTGTAATTTTGGGGAAAGCTGAATAACATTAAGAATGAACTTCTGATTAAAAGTAACATCCAGAATGACTCGTATTTGAAACATGGTAATCAAATGATGAGGCGGAAAACGTATCAGTTACTCTAAATGCTGTTAATTCACTGCAGTGTTCCTGTATTTCTGTTACTTTTTTCCCATACAGCCGAGCGCAAGCCTCCTCTCTTCAACATGAATGCTATGAGTGCCTTATATCACATTGCTCAGAACGATTCCCCCACACTGCAGTCCAATGAGTGGTGAGTGCCCACACAAACATACAGACTCACTTGTTTACTTGTTTCTGTGCTTGATAATATACACTCTCTGTAATACAACAAAGCACCAAGCTACAAGAGGCTGTGCGCTACAGTGATTTTCTCATGGTTAAGGTGTAAATACAGGTAAATCAGTTTAACACACGGCCTCAGAGTTATTTCTTAACAGTGACAAAATGCAGTAATATGCAAAAATCTGGGCAGCCCAGGTGAAATGACATGTTTTGTTAATTTTATAGGTGAAAATGCTTGTATGCTTGTATGTGCTGTTTATTTTATGCAGGTTTGCTTATGTATTTTTCTAGATGTGCATTTTGTTGCTGAGTATGTTGAGTTGTTTTTCACACCTTTATGATGTGTTAATATTATATTTTTTTATATTTTAGTTATTCTAAGATGCCTCTTAAGATCTGGCCAGTAGATGTTCTTTTTGGCTAACTCTGGCTTATTTACTATTCTTTTAATATTGTTAGTGTTTATTTTTTATGAGCCCTGTCCCTGACAATTAAATAAAAAATAAATAAATAAATAAATAAAAATGTGGTAACACATCCTCTACAGGGACGCATTTTTTTCTGCAAATTTTAGTGCACAATTTCTATTTATAGCTTAATAAGTTGGAAAAAAAAAAAGTTTGAAATGTCAGTTTGCCATAACTCACAAATCAACAAAGCATGGAATTTGACCAGAAGCCCCCAAACTTTTCCATCTGGCTGTACAATATGGTAAAATTCACCAATGTTCAGTTAATGAAATCTTTTATTATTAAAAATAATAGCAAAAAACATTTCTTACATAAAGCAGTGCAGTTCATTAACATTAGGCTGTTGTTGCCAAGCAATATAATGATCAAAGGTTATTCCAACCAATCAGATTTTAGAACTTGAACTTTCAGTTTAATAATTAAAAACTTGCACTTTTTTACTGACTTTTTAAAAAAATATATGCAAACACTGACAAACTCTAACGTTAATGTTCATTACACTGCTGCTTTTACGATGTTTCAAAAATGACTCGTGTTCTTTGCTGTGGGTTATGTTTCATGTCACTGTTGTTCTCTCTCTCTGTGTTTTGTGAAGGACGGACGCGTTCCGGAGCTTCGTTGACTACTGCCTACTAAAGATACCTCAGGACAGACCCTCCTCAGCAGAACTACTGAGGGTGAGCGCTCACATACACACGCTCTGCCTGTGAGAGAATCTGATGTGTTTTGTCACAGAATGTGGTAAAGGACCGCTGACTCTGACAGGAAGGGGCCGTCTGACTGTCCCACCATACGACCAGCCACAGACTGCTGTTTTTAGAGTCACGTGTCGGGGCAGGAGGTTTTCAAAATGGTGCCACAGCTAGTAGAGGCCTATATACCGGTTCATCCAGTATAATGGTTGCTTGTCATAATACTAGTATGCCACAAATAAGTGCAGATAATGTGGCTTTAAACCATGATTGGTTTGCAGTGACAGTGCTGGACTGAAGGAATGTCCCTGCTACAAGAGATTTGGGTTATAAACAATACAGAGATTTGATCTGCCTGATACAAAACCTAAACAGCATGTCTCCCCCTTTTTAGCCCCCCAAAACTGAGAAGTCAACTTAAGTACAAAAGGACAATTAACTAAGCATCAACTATACCTAATTTCTATGTCTTAATGTTTTTAGTTTCTAACAAATACAGTAAATGAGAGAACAGATTATGCGACATACATACAGTGTAAACCGTGATTGCTTTGCAGTGACAGCACTAGACTGAAGGGACGTTCCTGCTGCAAGATAGTGAGAGTGAGAAAACGACAGGGCTGTAAACAATACGGAGATTTGGGCCCAATCCCATCAAGTGTCATCTTACAGGGGTAGTGGTTGAAATCTTAATCTGTGAAATGGGACCCTCAAATTAAAAAAGAGCATTACTTCATTAACAGCTACTAGCACTGCTCTGTAGGTGACCCTGCCAGTCTGCAGTGAGAGCAGAGGAGGGTAAAGTTCAGCTCCTCACTGCTGGGCTTTAGTTACATTTAGGGCCTTCAGATTATTTATTATCGCCCATCCCTGATTTCTCAGTGATATGAAGCTGAAGTCAGATATTCACCACCAGATATTCATTCAGATTTTTCCGTTCCACCTTAAATGGAGCAGCAGTTACATTCTGACGCTTCAGGCATCAGAACTGCTGGACTATTTAAGGTGGAACAGGAAATGCACAAAACGGGGGGGGGTAAGAGCTAAGTGGTAGGACCAAGGGGTGAAATGGGATTGGGCCTTGATCTGCATGGTACCAAACCTTACACAGCATGTCTCCCCCTTTTTAGCCCCCTTTAGTTAAAGATGTTAACTTCAGCACAAAAGCACAAATCAGCTAAGCATTAACTAATAACTAATTTCTATTTTTTCATGTTTTTAGTTTCTAACAAATACAGTAAACGAGAGAACTCGCTGTTTAAAGCTGTATTTGAACAAAATGGCATCGAGAGAGCAGTCACAGAGTGTGAACAGCTGGGCTTCAGGCTGGAACTACGAATGACTTGGAGGGTCAAACTAAGAAAATGCGCTAAAAGTTAGTTGTTGTGCCTGTTATTAGTGCATTAACTTGGAAACCGCTTGTAAAAATCCCTCCTAAATATAAGTAAATATGTTCAGATGTAATTTATAGACACTTCTTGGGTGACTTGGACGTACTCATACCCTGTGGTGGGTGAGCGGACTTCCTCCTCACCATATCAGTCACTGCTTCCTGCTCTGACAGTGTGCTCCTTACTCATCCGCTCCTGCTGACTCACACGTGTACACAGTCAACCCACAGGATATTTAGTAAAGCCTCCCTTATTCTCTCTCTCTCTCACTCACTTCCTCTGCCAGCTACAGCGATGGAGGTCAATATAAGTGTGTGTGTGTGTGTGTGTTGGGTGCATGCACATCTGACATAATCTTTTTGCTGCTACATCACCCAAATGATAGCTGTAGGAGGACATTTCTCTGCCGCTCCGCTTTATATTTCTGCGTGTTTAGGTAGGAGGCTTACGACTGCACTGCCATGAGACAAAAATGGATCCCCTCCTTGACCTTACAAACCCAACAAGCTTCTACTGCGGTAGTTTTTAAGCTACGTTCACATTAGCAGGCTGAAGTGGCACAAATCCGAGTTTTTGCCCTAATGTGACTCAGTTCTGTTTTCAGGGCTGTGTGGACACAAATCTGATCTTCTCAAATCCGACCTGAGTCACTTTCATGTGTGGTCCTGGATCGGATACGTATCCGATTCGTGGTCATGTGACCTTAATGTGACGCTCAGATCGGAGTTCATGTGCTCTTTTTTCCACTGCGCGTGCACCATCATTCAGCGTTACCATGGCAGCAGCGCCGAACAGAAGTTAAAGCCTGTAAACGGAGGAAAAGCAACATCTCACCGTTTTCTCCTTCGTCTCGCTCTAATAATGAAGCTGAGAGCTGATCAGAGATAATTATCTTCTCAGCGAAGCTCGTTCTGCTCGTTAGTTTGTGCTGATGATGCATGTGATTCATCCACGTGACGTTACTGAGTAGGATGTGCGCATGAGGGTCATTTCAGGACGCCGGTTCGTCACATTAATGACAGATTTGAGTCACTTACCTAAATGAGTGTGAACCATCCTGTCAGAGAGATCGGATTTGAGCAAAAAATGTGATGTAAATAATTACGGAGCTTTAGTGAGCTTTCCTTTGATTAAGGTGATGGTTTGTCAAAAAAATCAAATTTACTCTGTTTTCTACTTAAACAATAGTGTGGTCATTGAACCAGCACATACAGTTCTCTGTAACGAGGACACTCAGTGGTGTTGATGCAAAGCACTGCTTTTATAAAATATCAGAAACTGTACGACTGCTGATGGCGCTCTCTTGTGGATCATTTCCAGTGACTGCTACTAGGAAAGGGTGATCTGCTTTCACGATGCACGCTGGCCCTTATTTATCACAGGTGCCTAAAAAAGAGCACTGCTTTGACCACCTTTAATGACAGACTAGTCTGTCTGATTCGTGAAACTTTAAGACGATGTAGAAACAAGCAGAGGTTTGAGTGCAAATGATGAATCAGCTTCAGCGCGTGAAATCAAGCGCCAGCCTACCAGTACCTCATTTACATATGCTTTACATTAAACATAGCATAATTTGTGTCAGATGTTTTGGTAAAGAGCCAACAAAGTGAAAGCGTTCGGCAGCTTGTGACGACTGTGAAGTAAACAGAACATTTTATTATTTTTTTTAAGACTGCACAATAATGTGATTGTGTAGTGTGATTATTTAAAATAACATATTTAAATGCTGTATTATTGCAGGGTATGAGTTGCTTCTGCACCAACTATGTTGTGTAGGTAGCTAGGTAGGTAGGACTTTATTGAACTTTTATTTTTATTCTTATTGTTATTAAACTGTTATGCTCAAATTCACACAGATGAAATTGTGTCAGATGAAACTGATGAATAACAAAACTGTCAATTTGCATGTGTTCATATTGTGATCAGATTTTACTGTGTACAACTTTGAAGAATAAGGGCCAATATGTATCAATATTTAGCTTTCCAAAAAGTTGGAACGGACACATTGCAACAGAAGATTAGGAATAATAATAATAAAAGTAATAATAATGATACATTAAAAATAAGTACAATAATGTTTTTTTTTATTACAAACATTATTTTTTGTGCAGCAAAAGCGCGCCACGTGTCAATCCACGGCCTACCAATCAAAATCAAGGACCTTTCTCTCCAGTTACTCATCGAACTTGAATGAAAATCTAATTTTTGTTTTTTTAACACAACAATTTTTCAACTCTTCACACAAAGATTACCACAATGTGAACATAAGAGAGTTTTTATTCATTTTTATGTACTGTTGCATACAAAGGTTTGCAAATCCCTTTTCGAATGGCACCTTCTGTTTATTTTATTACTTACTTATGATGTACTTATTATTATTAAGTGAAAATAAGTTAACGCATTCTCTACAGAGAGCAGCCTTAAACCTGGCATTTTTCTGCAAACTTTTAGTGCACAGTTTCTGTTTATGTGCTGAGTTTAAAATATTGGGGGGAAAAAATTAAACATAAAATATTAAATATTCTAGAGACTTTTACACAGGCAACATTTTTATGTTTATTTTTATTTAAAATTCAGCTAGGAAGCAGTAATTGTCTGGACAACAGCAGCCATCTTACAAAATTATTAAGATACTTGGAGTTTGGATTCAGTCAGATTTACAATGAGACCATTACATACATGCTGTTGTGAAGAAAGCAAATGCAAGACTTCATTTCTTGAGAAGAGTAAGAAGAACTGGCTGTCTCAGACCTGACTTTGATGTATACTGGTTATATTCATCCCATATTGGAGTACGCCTGCCCAGCATGGCGTGGAAACCTGACACGGGGTCTGTCGAACCAGATGGAGACTGTCCAGAAACGTGCATCCCAAATCATCGTCGGCAGGGCTTATTGTACTATCAAGAAGCCCTTCAAGCTCTCACATTACCAACCCTCCAAGAGAGGGTTTGCATATGACTGTGTCGGTTTGGAAACGTTTATCAGTCGTCTTTCGTGTTCTCTGTAATCACTGTCTTCTGTTTGCCTACTGGTCAATCAAATCTGTGAGCTCACCGAAATTTCTGCATAATCGAACCATTAAGATGTAAACAGACATTCAGAGTGGTTTGATGTTTAAGGCTCCGCTCTACAGACTCAGAATTGTTCACAGTGGTGGTGAGAAGAACCAGATGTCCAAAGTGTTTAATTCCTCTAAAGGCTTCCAGACAAAAATCTTTACATGAAATGGTTACAGATACGTCATCTGATATCTGAGATGTTGTTTTGCGATAGATTTTCAAAGTTTTGGCCTGAACTGTATTTAAAAAAAACACATGAATGACAGTGTCATTGTTTGTTATCAGGTTTCGACCGGAGGAGGATGGGTTCCCCTTTTGAGTCTTGGTTCCTCTCAAGGTTTCTTCCTCTTGCTCTTAGGGAGTTTTTCCTTGCCATTGTCTCTCTTGCCAACACTCATTGGGACTGCGGTTCCTGTGAAGCTGCTTTTTGACAACATCTGTTAGAAACAGCGCTATATAAATACATTTTGACTTGACTTAAGATGTACATGTAGACCAGGGCTCTCCAAACTTTTTTCAAAGAGGGCCAGATT